TTTATTCCCTGTGATGCACCAATGTGCATATTAAAAATTAATACATTTGTTTACCTTTTTCCTATTAATCTTCCTGTTGTTGATTAATTTTATATATCCAGCTATTGAACCTAGGAGAGTAGAGAGTCTTTTCTTCCCTACACTGTTAAAGGAGCCACAACAAGTTATAGACTAGATAGCTGTTAGTTACATCAATTTTCAGAAACTCGGATATTTTCTCTTCCATTTCATCTAAATCCTTGCTTCTTAAAATGTGGTCTCCAGACCAGCAATTTTGAACAACCTGGAGCTAGTTCAAAACGTAGAATTTCAGGCCTTAGATAGACCAACTAAATCAGAATTTGCACTTTAATAAGATCACCAGAGACTTGAATGCTTATTAAAGTTTAGAAACACAGTTAGTCCCAACTATTTGCTCCAGAAAAATTTTAGAAGCTTTATTCCAGGTGGACTAATGGAAGCTAAAGAACCTACTGGGATATAAACTCTGAAATGGGACGGACCTTGTCTTCATGTGGCATCATATTTCAGAACAGAACCCATAAACAATATTAAATCATTTTAAGAAAAGAGAATGAAAAACATCTCTTTATATCAAAAATGATATATTTTCAAATTTTATGTTTTTAAAAGAAAATGTTCTTTTATTTTATTTTTATTACTGCCCTAAAAGCCAAACAATTAAACATATATCACATATAAAAATAAACACAACCGTGGCCAGGTAGCACAGTTAGTTGAAGCGTCATCCCATACACCCAAAAAGTTGTCGGTTTGATTCCTGGTCAGAGCACATACCTAGCTTGTGGGTTCCATTCCTGTTCAGAATACGTAGAGGAGGCAACCAATCAGTGTTCTTCTCTCAGATGGATGTATGTTTCTCTCTCTCTCTCTCTCTCTCTCTCTCTCTCTCTCCCTCTCTAAATATATTCTCAGGTTAGGGTTAAAAAATAAACACAAATGGATTAAAAATTTAGATATTAAGATCTGAAGCTATAGGACTCCTAGAAGAAAACATATGAAAGAGCTTAATAACATTGGTCTAGGCATTGATTTCTTGGATATAATACCAAAAGCACAAGCAACAAAAGCAAGAACAGGTAAATGGAATTATAGTACATCAAACTAAGTAATTCAGCACAGAAAAATAAATAAGAAATGGAGTGAAAAGGCAACATATGGAATGGGAGAAAATATGTGCAAACTATACATAACTGATAAGAAGCTAATCTCCAAAATATATAAGGAAATCCTACAACTCAATAGCAAAAACCAAATAACCCAATTAGAAAATGTGCAAAACACTTGAATAGACATTTGTCCAAAGAAAACTTCTAAATGTCCAAAAGGTATGTGAAAGATTCTCAACATAATGAATCATCAGAGAAATGCAAATCAAAACCACAATAAGATATCACCTCACATCTTTCAGAATAGCTACTATAAAAAACAAAACAAAAATGAAACAAAGCCCCAAAAAGCAACATGTATTGGCAAGGATGTGGAGAAACTGTGGTATATAGAAGCATACAACAGAATATTATTCATCCTTTCAAAAGAAGGAAATTCTGTACTATTCAACAACATAGATGAACTTGGAGGACATTATAATAAATGAAATAACCTGGTCACAGAAGAGCATAAGTAGCACATTCAGGTAGAGTAACTTTGGAGCCTAAGCTTTTTACCTACCCTGAAAGGACATCGTAGGTTTGCCTCCTCAGTTTTTCATGGCTGGCTAATTACCTATTTCCTCTTGAAGTCAAAATGAAGATACCTTTAAAATCGGTCCTTCCTCCACATATTGGCCATCTAACATCCTTTCACCATTTCTTCCTGGATAGAGATAGATACAGAAAGGTCAATTTTGAATGATCCATCCTGCCTAATTATTGAATGGTTACTGCATAGCAAACAAAGATTCCAGCATGTATTTATGATATAATTAATACCATATGGATCCCAAATGAAACTTTTAGGGGGAGAAAAGATTTGCTTGAGACAAATGGAATAATCTACTATAAAATCTGCTACTAACTTGATTTCCTATGAAGTTAAATCAACCAATTAGAGACAGGATATGATATGCAGGTAAAGGTATAGTTTTGACTACAATGCTTCTCACTAGAGTTGTGGAGGATTCCTAGACATAGAGAACTAAATCAACCCCAAGGTTTGATTTTTCTCCTTCATTCTACCTTTTTGCCCTCTAACTTCTGTTACATTGATATGCTTTGCCATTTTCCCATATGTGTATATGTTTACGTAGTAGTGTTAGAAAGAAATGATTCTGGGGATTCCTGTGTGAACTGTCTGCCTTTCCACACATTGAGATGGTTTGTTTCCTGTCTTTAAGAAAGTCCTTAGGATATAATAGCTCCACCATGCCTCAACACTGTGACATCGGCCACGTTACCTCTCTGTGTCTCAGTTACCTCAAGTATAAAATGAATTTAAATTTTAAGTACTCAGTTAATAGGGCTATTATGAGGAGGATTCAATAAGTAAATACACAGAAAGGGCTTGGCATAGTGCCCAATACAAAGTAAGCACTAAATACATGTTAGCTGCTGTTACTTATAGTATTATTATCTTGTGGAGGGACTTACTTCCTCACAAAGTATCACCAAAATATCATCTAAGAAACAAAATCCACATTTAGAGACTTTTAGGATTGGTATGGAAGATCTGAGATATTTTAAATTTTAAGTCCCATAGTTAATAATAGCTAATGTGTATTGATCACTTATTACATGCCAGGTATAAACTAAATACATTATATAATCTCATTAAATATTTACTATAACTCTGCAAGTAACTAAAATGTACTTTAGAGAAATTAAGTAATTTGCCTAAAATCCCTGTTTAGTGGGAATTCAGCATGGGTTTATATCTATAATATTTATAGATGGATCAAATATGTATTCTTACATGCTCAATTTAACTAAGCAATAATGCCTCTGATGCCTCTTTCATAGTAATAGCTATCATTTTCCAAAGTTTTCCCCTGTGCCATGACCATTAAAATGCAAAATTGCTCATTGTGCCACATGCCATGCTGGCTAAAATGAGAAGTTATCCAGTGATTCCAGCAATCTGTATTTAATGAATCAACAAAATAAAATAAATGGGACTTAAGGTTGTTTCTCAATTATTCCTTTAAATCAAATGCATTCAGTTTTAGGGAGGAAAATTACTATACTGCTGTTGATTTTTTTCTTTTGCTAAGAATTGATAAAATGTGATCATATATCAAATAAGTCAAATAACAGGCCCAGGAAGTAGAATTTGGGATTCTTGACTATTTGGTCAATTTTTAAATAGCATTTAAAAAATTAAGATATACTTCAGATAACATAAAATTCACCATTTTGAAGTGTACATATCAGTGGTGGTCAGTATATTCCTTGTGTTTTGTAACCATCCTCACTGTCTGTCATTACCATCCTCAATCAGCATCACTACCAATATCAGAATAGTTTTATCAACTCACAAAGAAACCCTAGATCCATTAGCAGTTACTCCCATCTCCTGGCAGCCATTAATTTTTCTGTCTCTATAAACTTGTTCTTGGGAAAATCTTTTCTCTGCACAAAATGACTGCTCAGATGTGTGATTTGTTTTTTATTCTTTGATGTCAAAATCAAACTGCCTGCCCTAAGCTTCAACTTGGTGTGTGGTTCCCAGTGATATATGTATAATAGAAGGCATGATAGAGAGTTTTAGACTCTAAGAGATCTCATCAGAGTTAGCAAATGCTTGCCATACAAATGGACTTTAATATGAAGAAATATACTACATACTTTGTGCATTTCTACTGTCTACATTCACTTTCAATTTTAGATTTTCCTCATATTTTCTCTTATTTCATTAATTTGGTACTTATTTATGTAACATACCTAAGTTACATATACTTGGAACTTAATTTGAAGACTGCTACTGTGTTTAGTAATCAAGTCAAAATAGTATTATAAAAGGTAATCTTATTTTTTTAAAGTTATATCTAATTGTAGGTTTCCAAATTCCGGTTCAAATGTGTGCTCTATTTAGTTATTCCATTCTCTCTCTGCACACTCATACATTCTGTTCACTTCTCAGATAATTTTATTTCAAAATAGAGATTCAAATGTATTATTGTGTCACTGTGAGCTCTGTTTACATGTCTGGGAGTAGACTATGAGCTCCTTGATGGGAAGGACCTTGTCTACACCTCTGACTTTCTAGCACAGAACATTGTGCACAGTATAAACTAATGTTGAATAAATAAGATTTAAACATATAAACAAACACACGTATCAAAATTTACAATTATTAACTTACATAGTATTCAACTATAATATTACATATACATATGACATGTGGAGTTTTATATGGTTCACAACTACATTCCAAATGATATTAGACACTTAAAAAATTCAAAATGATATATTTTGAACACCACAGAATATTACGTATATCAAGTTTTACACAGCATTATTTTAAATAACCTGTAAACCAGTTATTACACACACACTGTTTAATAGGGTATTCACCACAATGTAATTTATAAGCTGGAGCTACTCTCAATGGAAAAGTTTGGAGATTAAAGTCATGCAAACAAATCTGTATTTGGATTGTCTGGCACTACCTGAGTGACTTTTGCCATTTCTAAATATGAGTTTTCTGTGATGTACAGATATTTAATACCTTGCTTAGGGAATTGGTGTAAGGATGGAGCTATATAATCTACGCACAGGACCTGGAATTTAGTAGGCCTTTAATGAATCTTGGCGGACACCTCACCCTTCAGGTTTTAATTTTCTACACATTATGAGTCTTTTCCAGCCAGGGAAACCTACCCACATATCCATTTAGTCAATTCAAACATTCCGGATAAGATCGAAAAAGCACAACAATAATCAACCTTTCTAATTCCGAGTAATTGCTAAACCCGCAGGAAGCGCTGGGCGGACCTCCAGTATCCCAGCATTCCCCGCGCAGCAGTCTCCTGCGTCTCTATGGTAGAGTGAGGCGGCGGAGGCTGCGGTGGCGGCGCTGGTGGCGGATGTGTTGAGGGAGAGTGCCTCCAACTTTCCTCCTGTCCTGAGAGGGTTTTGGCTCGGAGGGTCGGGATGTCAGAGAAAAAGCAGCCGGTAGACTTGGGTCTCCTGGAGGAGGACGACGAGTTCGAGGAGTTCCCTGCGGAAGGTAAGCGGTTGGGCCTCGGCCCCCGGGCCGCGCGTACGGTGACTCAGGCCTCGGGTTGGAGGAGGCGCGGCAGCAAGGCCCGGGCCCAGAGGCGCCCGCGGGAAGTTTGCACCCCGTGGCCGGCCCAGGAGGCTTTGCAGGTGCGACCCTCCGTGCACCCGGCTTCGGGCTCGGAGTGTCGCGGGGGCACTCACCGGTGAGGCTGAGCGCCTTCTGCTTCCTCATTGGGAGGAGCCACGGTGACCCCGGGCGTGCTCCGGTGTCCGGGATGGTCGGTCCCTCCACCTGGAGCCGGGTTACCTCGTTCGCGACCACGGCACCTCTTCCCTTTTTCTTTGGGTTAGGCCAGTGCTGCTTACTTGGAGGGCTTTTCAAGTGAGGCCTGTTAAGTAGGGTGGGAGGGTCAGGTGTTGGTGCTTAATACACGTTATTGTTTTACGCTTGTTCCTCGCTCATTTTTGATTGCTTAACTTTGAACTAACGTAAGTTTAAGGATTTTTTTCGACCCTAAAATTTCTGTTTTTATTAGCTTCATGGTTCCCAAGAGGAGCTAATTCGTTTTTACAGATGCAGCAAGTAGGTACCGGTATTACCATTTTTCAGATAAAGAAAATGAAGCTTGGAACAGTTGAGACTTCCCAATGTCACATCGCTGACTGCAGCTGGTGGACAGCCGGCCCAGTTGACACCGGAATTCTTAAACTCTTCAGCTGTGTATTTGTTAGAGCGTTGTGGTTACTTAGATTTTTCAGAATCATTTGCTTTATTGGTTAAATGTTATACGTAGGATAAATATTTGTTTCATAAGAAAAGGAGGTTACTACTGGGTAGTTTTTCTGAAGGTGGTAGAAGAAATTGTTAATGCTGTACAAATTTGTTACATTGAGCAATTAGTGTGTCACTAAAATTGTCCTAAGTTGTATCCATCATGATTCTATTAAAAAATAAAACCACACAGCTGGGACATTTGTTCTTTGTACTTATAGTACACGCTTATTATTTTTTAATGGAGGAAGAGAGACATTAGTGTGCATACTATACACACTCATAAACTAACCAAGGCACATTTCTTTTCAATTCTGGGATTCATTATATATTGTGGGTATTGTTTGTTTTCTCTTTTGATAGTAGATTTATCTGTCAGATGTGTTTTCTTTACCTACCTTCACGTTGGTTCATAATCCATTTTTGAAGTACACAGTAGAAAACTGGCTTACTGAGGGCAGGATCCACTTCTTACTTAAACTTCGTATTTCGAAATACCATTTATTCATTGTTTAGCATATGCAGAGTACGACATTAGGCACTTTGTTTGCATTACATAGTCTCATTATCACAATCCTGAGAAAATTGAGGCTCAGATTTTAAAAGCTTGCTAGTAAGTGGTTAGTCCCCAATCTTAGCTTTATTGTTAACATTTAGCAAAGTGCCTGGTACTTTGTAGGTGGTCAGTACATGCTTGTTGAATGAATGAATGTGTATTTAAAATAAGTAGTTGAGAATGACTGCTTAAAAAGGATCTAGAGATAACTGTGAACCTGATGATACACATGATTCTTCTCAGCAACTTTCATCTTAACCAGCTTTTGCAGAATATGCAGTTTGTTCTTGTTCTGAGTTTATGTTGTGAGCAGCAATTTGTCCAAAATGTTTGTAGTTACATAGTAAAAAATCTTATTAAAGCTAAAAGGAAAAGCAAAGTATTTTTTTGTGAAGAAAAAGGCCTTCACAACAGACTGGTTTATTTGCATTAAGTAATTCACCTTTTATTGGTCACCTTACAGAATACTTGTTGTCTTCAGGGTTGAATGTGTAGAACCTACTTCATTCAGGAAACTTTCCATTTAGAATGAGAAATAACATTTGAAATTGTTTTGTTCAGATTTCTGTATGTTTCTTCTTTGGTTTATAATTCAGATAGTTTTTTTCTTTAATGTTCACTTGAATTAGTAAGATTTTGCAAAATTAGCCAATGAGGTGAAATCAATCAATATTTACTAATAAAAACTGCTCTGATAAGTAACAAAAACTAAGTATCCATCGGAATTTATATATATGTATATAATTTTGTGTGTGCTTGATTGTATTTTTTAAATACACCCAGAGGTCTATGTTGTATATACTATGCTTCTACTTGCTTTTCATAGTTTATATCTTAGGCACATGTTTACACATTAATATAAAAATCTACCTCATGGTTTTTTGTTTTGTTTTGTTTTGTTTTGATCCTCACCTGAGGATATTTTTCCATTTTTTGTACAGATAGAGTGGGAGGGAGAGAGAGGAAGGGAAAGAGAGAGAGAAACATCGACGTGAAGGGACACATTGAATGGCTGCCACCGCACAACCAACCAGGGCCGGGGACATACTGCAACCAAAGTACGTGCCTTTAGCGGGAACCGAACCCGGGTCTCTCCGGACCGCAGGCCGACGCTCTAACCGCTGAGCCAAACTGGCCAGGGCTACCTCATGCTTTTTAATGGTTATGTACTACTAGTTCCATGGTGCATGTTAAGTAATTTATTTAGCTGTTGTGCTTATCTATCAGATAAACTCTTAAAGAAGAAATTGCTAGATTACATTGGCAGCTGCATTTTTATATTTTAATATAATTTTTAACTTTGGAATCATTGCAAATTTACGGAATAATTACAAGTACAGCCATTTTTCCCAGAACGATTTGAGAGTAAGTAGCCAACCTGATGCCCATCACCCTTGAATATTTTAATATAAATTTCTTACAAAGACATAATCGCAGTACAAACATCAAAATTGGAAATTAATACACTGATACATTACTATCATCTTGTCCACAAATCTTTTTTCAGGTTTCTCCAGTTGTCTCAATAATGTCTTGATTCAGTCATGAATTACCACATGTAGTTGTCATGTCCCTTTAGTCTTCAGTTTAGAGCAGTTTTCAGTTTGTCGTCTTTGACTTTCGTGATTTTGACACTTTTGAAGATTATAGGCTAGTTATTTTATAGACTGTACCTTAACTTTGATTCGTCTCATGTGTCCACATGAATAGATTTAGGTTCTGCACGTTGGCAGGAATATCATAGTCATGCTGTTGTTACTGCATCCTGTCAGGGAGAACATGACTCTAATTTGCTCTACTACTAATGATGTTCATTCTCGTCATTTTGTTAAGGTAGTGTCTTGGAGAGTTTTCCATTGTTAGAGTACTCATTTTCTCTTCATAATTATCTGGTATTTTGTGAAGAGGGATTTTGAAACCATGTAAATACAGTATTCCATTCATCATCAAACTTTCAGTTTGTTCATTTTCTTATTTATATCAGTACAGACATATGGATTCTCATTCAGTGGGTTACAATTTATTGCTGTTATTTATTTTGATCCTCAAATTGTCCCCTATTTGAACATTAGGAAGACCTCCAAGCTATCTCCTGTGACCTTTTGACATGTCATGGTCATTCTTTGTGTATTTCCTAACATTCTGGCACAAGAAAGTATTTGAAGCTAATCTTGTACTTTCCCTGCTCCTGTCCTGGAATCAGGCATTTTCTCTAAGACCCATTCCTTTTAGGGAGGAATGATATTTAGAAGGCAACTCCAGTTGCGGTAGTATTTGTATAAAATCATGATTTCACACTTGTTCCCAATATCTGTTAATCTCAGAGTTTATTTTTTTATTCCTTTCCATGTTCGTCATAACCTTCCCCATTAGTGAGATACCTAGATTCTGTTATTGTAAATATATTGTCTATTTGGTCGTCTTCCTCCCTAACCAATTTTTGTTGCTGCCTCCACACATAGATGCCCTCCTTACCCCCATGGTCTTCAACATTCTATGTCAGGCCACCCTCTCCCCTCCTCACATCAGTATTGGATGACTTATTTTCCCTGTTCAGGCTTTGACACACCAACCTTGCAGTGCTATACCCCACAGGAATGCTACCCCCAGGTGCATTTTGATATTGGACATATATTTTCAAATTGCCTTTGAGAAGAATTACGTTAGTTAACAGTACCATCTACAGTTCACCTTTTTTCTCATTAGGTTACCTATATTCCATATTAAACATTTTAGTCTTTGCAAACCTGAGGGATGAAACATGTAACTGCATCATTTTGACTTTGATTTCTTTGAGTGAGATTGACCATTGTGTTTTTATTTGAACTGTTACCTTCTTAATTCTCAGTTTCTTTATATACATTTTTTGGATAACAATTAGAGTTATACAAGTATTACATGGTTGTATTAGTTTGCTCAAGCTGCCATAACAAAATACCATATACTGAGTACCTTAAACAACAGAGCTGTATTTTCTCACAGTTCTGGACCCCGGAAAGTCCAAGATCAAGGCATTAGCCAATTCATTTCCTGGTCAGGGCTCTCTTTCTGATTTGCAAACTATTGCCTTCTCACTATGCCTTTACAAAGTGGAGAAGAGAGGGCAAGCTCTCTGGTGTTTTGTTTTGTTTTTTTCTATAATGGCACCAATAATCTCATCATGAGTACTCCACTCTCATGGCTTCATAAAACCCTAATTACCTTCTGAGGGCCACATCTTCAAGTACCGTCACATTAGGGGTTAGGGCTTAAACATAAGAATTTTGGGGTTTGGGGGACACATTCAGTCTATAGCAATGATACATGTAAATTCATAGCATAGAGTTTGGCATAAAGTTGGTATTCAGTGAATATTAGAGCGCCCCCCCCCCCCAGTCTATTTAGGGATTTGGATTTTGGATGATGTTTGGTATTTAATTTACTTAGAATTTGAACTATTTTTAACAAATATTTTATTTGTAATTTTAGGTATATCTACAATGTAAGCTGCATGATTTTGGGGTTATTTGATCATTTATTTTCTAGTATGAAAACTTTTACATTAAAAAATATTCTTAAATGTTTTTTCCAAGAGTACTTTTAAATATAGTGTGCTTATTTATGTAAAATATGATAATACATAGAACAATAGCATACATTGTTTAAGTATGCCTACAGATGGACAAGAGGTATTAAAAAA